TATACTCAGTTTTGTAAGGACACCTCAAATACCTTTGAGGAGTAAGTACTTTTAGGACTGCATGGAACTGCACGAACTAAAAGGTTCTGGTCTCTCCTTGGAAGTTGGTAAAATGGATGACTACAGGGCTCTTAAATGGGAGAATGCAGAAAATAAATGCAAACTCATTGGAACTTTTTTGAATGAAATAATTTTTTCTCAGAATACCAGAGATTATTTTATATGTGTATAAAAATGAATAATTAAAACAAGTAGAATTTCTTAATCTTTCTGGCATGTCAATGCAGATGCTGTGCATATGTACATATAATTGCATTCACAGTGCACTATCTGATTTATTAAACAAAACAATCTAATGAGAAAAAAATCTGTTAATGGTTTTTATTTGCTAGATGCAGACATTTGGTTTAAGACAACTGTATTGAACTAACATCACTAACACAGGAAAAAAAAACCCTGGCAATTTCTGGCAAGTAAACCATAAATAATTCACTAAGATGCTCTATGCCCTCACCTCATACAGACCGCAGCATACGTGCTAATGATTCTACAGAACAACCATTAGGCTTACAGGGCCTCTGCAACTGTGTATAAAAAAAATCCCTCAGCTTTCTATATAATGTAATAAAGACGGACAAGTAATGATTTATCAGCAGAAGGGCCAGAGACAACAGAAGCAGCTTTATGTGCAATGTCTCCTCAAAATCATTGACTGTAAAAACAATCAACTGACAAAGAGTTGGGAGAATGCAAAAAAACCCCCAAACTATACTACATGGAAGAAAGTAACACAGTCAATGTCATAAAATCCTTGCATTGTGAATTACCGGCATCCTGTGAGTGACATAATTACAGCTGTTAGTGGTGTATCTACAGTTGCAGCTCTGCAATAGATGAGAATATGATCTAGCTTGAACAGAGCACTGGTTATTTTCTTTAACACCTTGAATTTCAGAAAATCTGCTGATACTAAGCAACAGCTATTCTGATGGCAGGTTTCCTAATCTTCACTCAACTTCCAGAGATCAGACCTGATGAATTAGCATGAGTAAAAAGGAGCTTGCTAACGAGTACCTAAACTTGTTTCTATACGTATCTTTGTGTGTACGTCTGTCTCTACACATACACGTGTGCATACACACACAGAGCAAAAAGTTACTAAAAACCACATACCCAAAATGGAGCTGCGATAAATTAAACGTTCATAATGAAAAAGTGACCTCTGGGGCATGGGGGAGAAGGAAACACTATTGAAAAAACTGGTGCAGTGAGGCTATCAAGTAAAGAGGTATGCTTCCTATTTGAAGCTCTTCCTATGGAAGTTCTCAGGCTGGATTGAAGCCTTCTAACATCTCCCTGTACGAAGCAATTTAGAAACAGCAAGAAACATGCCATAAATCTCTTATCATTTCATGCTGCATTAAAAATAGCTCACTGATGACTGCTTAGTACATCTAGATATTTTCCTTCCCTTTGACCTTCTGCTATCTCTGTTTACCTCCTTTTCAGGAAAGAGACGACAAGAAAGGGATTTAGGCTTAATTCTTATTTTTGTTCCCCATTTTGTGAATTGAAAAGGGGAAGGACAGTATGTGGAAGTACCAGGCTCCTTTTCAAATACCAGTGCAAATCACACAGATGCTATATCTATACTAGGAAATGGGGGTCCCCCCAACATTACTCTTTTCCTGGGACTGATGTAAATCAGATGCAAATTCAAGCTTCAACTGCTGACAGCCAAGGTGGACTGCAACAGAGATACAGGTTTGGCCAACTGGCTTAAATTTTAGTAAAAGCTTTAAACTTGGTCCTTATTCAAAAGCTTTTCTGCTCTGTGGATTGGAGAACTCTTCACATTTCCTGACTTCAATCACATGCCTTTATTTATTTATTTTCTGAAAGCGAGAGAAAAATGGTGAAGTAACAATATTCCAGTTATCACAAATATCAGTAACAACTAAGTACTTGCTCTATTGTACTAAGATCAAATTATCTCTCTTATGGGAAAGGGACGAATATCATCCGCATGATTTTGATCTACTTTTAAGCAAAATGTAGTGATCATTGTAAGAATGTCGTGTGGGTGAAAAGTAGTAAAAAGAAAATGGGAAAGGGCATGTGTTTGTATGTTTGTCTCAGTCCTTTCAGAGCTGACTTTCTTCAAGGATTCTGAACAACTGCAAAACATTTACTTGTTCTTATTCGCAGGCTTGGACTGTTGCAAATTGACATGACACCTGTATTTTCACCCTGAAGAAGCAGGTCACCACCTTGTTCGCTTGAGCAAAGCAAGTAGAAAAACAAACTGGAAAATCAGGACTTATGAAAAGGGCAAACCTTTCAGGAAATCAACTAGAATCTGGGCAATTAAAACAAAACAAAATGTTACAAGCAGCTGCATGTATTAATGTGCCTCCAGGTCTCTTGTTAATAGTTTTTCATTCTAGAATAATATCCTCATTTTTCAGATTTTTTTTTTTTCCATAAAGAATAGCCTCAAACTGTAAAAACTGAGCATCCCTAAAGGACAGTGACTGCAAAAAAAGAATCTCTTTTCCTTTTTTAACCTCCAACATAGAAATTTTGTTTATAATTAGCAAGTAAAACAATTTTAAAGCACACATTTTTAAACTGTCTGAATTGCTTTTGTACTTCACAGTTTAATTAAGCATCCATTTGCTTTCCTCTATTCCTCGTTTATGAAGCTACTCAGACCGGTATTAGTTTTTTGTTAAATTGAAATTTTACCACAGATGAATTGTTTTTAAAGGATGAGGAAAAATCAGGTGGACATTTACTGCCAGAAGTTGTATCAGTATGGACAAATTTTCAGACATCTGGTGATTAAAGACAGAAGGAACTCAAGGTCCACCAAGAATGGTGAAGACAGTATGTTTTGCTTAGTGTTATGATACACTTAGCACTACTGTAAAGGGGGAAAATCCCTATTTCACATGCACATGTCAGACACTTTATGCTGTGACTTCGGATTGCAGGCACAGCAGTGAATCTCTCTAGGGAAGCAACCATCCCTCTGCACTGAGAATGCGGTGTGTGTCTGTGCCAGGCTGGAGGGGTTCACTCTCTGTGCCAAAAGCAGAGCAGGGTCCTTTGCAGCACTTAAAACTCTGTGCTAAAAGCAACAAAGGCGGCACAGGCCCCTGGACTGCACTACTTTTGCACTTGAGCAGAAAATCGAGGAAATATCCCATGTGATTTTCATAGTGCAAAAGTTACTGTATCACTTGGAAATTTCAAGCCACAATGGTCACACACTGAAATACCTTTTACTTCTTCTTAGTAGTCTATCGTACAGATTCATAAAGATCAGACATGACCTACGCTAGCCATACTTTCAGTACTATTTGTATCACCCCAACCCACAAAGCACTCTGATACAGTGGACTAAAACACGTCGTTTCACTCTGAAACTAGAGTGTGGCAGTGTGAGAAAATCCTTTCTCCTGACAAGCGACACCAAAGATTTCTGTCATGCATGTGGGTGTGTGTGGAAGAAAAGGGAGGAAGGAATAATCTTCAGTAACAAATATGGGCCTCGTAACAGGAGATTTTAAGACGACTGAAATAAAAACAGTTAACAATCACAGACTTCAATATTACAAAAAAATTGCTAGATTGAACTAACATTACAAAATTTGGATTAAACACATTCATGCTTCACTTGTGGCAATACTTCTACTGCTGTTGGGAAAGAAATCTAATCCGGAAGGCAGAGATAGCCCAGTATTTGGGACACGTTCCCTGATCCCATGACTTCTGCCGCACTGTTGCACAGCTAGCACTGTACCTGCTTCCAGGCTCTCTTCATGGAATGAATTAAGACTAAACACAAGTAAAGATGTCAGACTCCTAAAACCGTGCTAGAAGCGTATCACCTGGCCAGCTCTTGACAAGTATCCCAACTGCTGTAACACAGGAGCTTATTTTACTTCCCACTGTGGCAATTTCTGTAGTCAGTAAACACCGGTGAGTTACCAGAAAGATTTAAACACACTAGGAGGGTGTCGCCCATAACGCTATCTAAAGGACGTTTTGAGGAAAAAAGAAGACAGATTGATCAGTTTGATCTGATCTGAAGAAAAAAACACAATGATGACGTGACACTGAAATAATTCTGACCCTAAAATATATCAGTCTAATCTCAAGCGTTGTGTGGGAGTAAGCTCTTCC